CCTGCGGTAGGATGACAAACGCTCGCTCAATTCAGAACCCCCTGCAGGGGGTGGTGACAGGGGCGATAGGTTTATCCTGCAGGCTGCTTTGTGTCTCATTTGGGCCAGCGCAGGAAGAGCCTGGTGCCTCCTGACCCTGCTCAGCAGGGCAGTGGCTGTCCCCTGGGATCCCGGAACCTGGCATGACCAAGCTTGTTAGGAGTGAGGCCAGTGAGGAGATGCTGCACCTCCTGCACCAAGCCCCTGGCCAGTGCTGGGACAGCTGCCTGCCGGCCGGGCAGGCAGGGCCGGCTGGGCTGGGGGGGAAGGCCTCCCTGCCTGGGCTGCCTCTCTTTGCCTTTGGTGATTCAAGGAAAGACTTCAGGGGCTACTGGCCCCCCTTTTCTTCCTCTAGATTGGATGGAATCCCCCTGGGACTCCCGGAGACACCCCCTCCCTGCTTCACAGGGAGCTGGCAGACCCGGGTTCGAGTTCTGGTTCTGCGTTGACCTTGGGCCCGCGTCCCTTCCTGGAGCTTAGCTTCCTGGTCTGGATACCAGGGCCCCCAAGGGCCTTTCCAGTCCTGGAAACCTGGGTCCAGGACTGTCCACCTGTCGGGAGCTCCGGGCCAACAGGAAGTGAGCAGATCCCAAAGGCAAGGGGCCTGGTGGGTCTCTGTGCACCACGTGCCCCGGGCAGGGCAGCAGGCTTCCCTGGAGCCCCTTGGGCCAGCTCCTGGCCTCCAGTGGGGGCTGACCCAGGGTGGGTGGGGTGCAGCGCGGCACAGGAGGGCCTGCACTGCTCCCTCTAGTGAGCCCTCCTAGAACTGCAGCCCTAGAGCCGCCCCCTCCCCCCCACCTCCGGGTCCATCAGAGACAGGGCAGCAGAGAGGGAGAAGGGGGCTGGCAAGAACAGGGGTGGGGGTGGGGTGCGGGTCTGGGAACAGTCTCAGGACAGCCAGCAGCAGACGTGGCAGGGAACGGGGAACGCAGCAAGGCACAGAAGACAGGAGTGCAGGCGGCAGGCAGAGAAAGAGCAACCAGGACCAGAGGCAGAGAGAGAGAATGGGATCCCAGGGCGGCCGGCCTCCTCTCGGCCCCTCCCCCACGCCCGCCACACTCCCGGCTGCCCTGGCTTCTCGCTGCTCCTGGAACGTGCCAAACGCCTTCCTGATGCGGGGCCTCGTACATGCTGTTCTCAGCAGGCCGGCCTCCGCGCCCCTGCTCAGCGCCCCTCGCGCGCCCCACCCCGCCTGCTTAACTCTCGCTCGCCCTCCCCCTCCTAGCCTGGCTGTCCCCTTCCCAGGGGAGCGGCTCCCCGCCCCTCCTCCCCCAGCACAGGGCGGCTGCTGCAGGCCCAGGGCCAAATGCAGAAGGGAAACGGGCCCCTCGTGCAGGAGCCACGAAGGATGTCCCACTGAGAGCTGAGCGTGAAGCCCCCGCCCTGCTGCTGGCGGACTCCCACGTGGCCAGGAAGTGCCTGGGAACAGGGCCCCAGGCAGGTGGGACACCCACGGCTCTGCTCCCCCCCATCTCTACCCCCACTGGCAGCAGGGGAGGACAGGGGGACAAGGTACAGAAGGACAGGAGGAGGGGGGGAGGGGAGGGGGGAGGGGAGGTCACGGGCCACCATCCCCAAGCAGGGAGCCCAATACTCACAGCTTGTGCATGGGCTGTCCGCGACGTCCAGCTCCGCCCTGGCGAAGCCGTGCCCGGCCCGGGCCGTGAGCAGTGCCGACTCGATGGCCCTCTCGTGGGCGGTGAGCACGATGGTGGGGCCGCGGCCGCCCGGCCCGGGGCCCGCCAGGGACTGCCGCATGAGCGCCAGCTTGTCCTTGGTCCTCCGCTTCAGGTCATCCCACCTGTGCTTAATGTCCTTGACGGAGCGGGGGACCTGGCTGGCCGAGGTGACCTTCCGGGCTATGCCTTCCCAAATCTTGTCCCTGTCGGCATGGGACAGCCGCATGGTCTCCCGCCCAAAGAGAACGGCTTCGTGGTGGGTCACCTCGGTGACCAGAACGTCCAACTCCTCCTTGGAGAACTTGGGCTTCCTCTTGCGCTCAGCCAGGGGCGCCACGTTCCTTGGGTTGAATACCCCACAAAGCACAATTGGGTAAAGGACCATCAGCGCGCGTGGGCCTTCTTCTTCCTAATGGCCGGCCAACGGCCGGGGGGGCCAGGAGGCACCTGGGGCAGCCCGGCCCCCCACCACACCCTCCTGAGACTGAGTGTCCCCTCCGCTATCCAGCGGCGGGCAGGGCGGCTGGAGGAGACGCCCATCCCACAGGCGGGTGGGAGTGTGGACTCGGCGTGGCCGCCTTCAGTGTCAGCCCCTGCCTTACCTCTCAAAGGCCGGGGAGGGCGGGCAGCTCCGGCCTATGCCGCCTCTCCCACCTTGTTCTCCCCACAAGGGATGGGAACACGGGCACAGCGGGCTCTGGGGGGCACTTGGGAAGGAGGGAGAGGCGTGGCGACGATGGAAGAGAGTTGGAAAGCCCCAGGAGGCGCTCAGGGACCCACGGCATGGAGCCACAGGGTGGCAGGGAGGGCCACGGGAGACATGACACGGGGACCCTGCTGACAAAGGCCACAGCACGAGACTGGTGCCACCCCTGACCAGGGCGCGGTCCTGAAAGCTTACTGTGTCACTACCTTCCCGTCCCCTGTACCCTTCCCCCAAGTCCCCACCTCTGAAGCCACGCAGGACACAGGCTCGCCTCCCACAGGGGTGCTGCCAGCAGTTCCTTTTGGGGTACGGCTGTCTTGTGGAATTCGAGGAGCCCACCACAGTCCACTGAGAAGCCAGGAGTGATGTCCTTGGCCTCCACTCTGACCGTGCAGCCGGGGCCCTGGGCCCGTCCCTCAGACCCGGCACCTGCCATGGCTTTGGAACTCCACTTCCCCGCACTGTGGTTCTGTCCGCCCTTTAGCAGTAGGAAGTCCATAAAGCTCACCCCAGACAGCACGCCGGGGCATGGAGGGAAGTCCAGAGCCTAACTCTACACTCACTGCCCCCAGAACCAAGCCAGCAGCCAGGGGCCAGCGCCACCACGAGCCCATGGCCCTGACCTCCCCCGCCATGCCAACCTGGAGCCTGGAAGGGAAAGGCTGGGGCACCCGGCATGACAAAGCAAGCATCCTTGGGCAAACCTTGAGGGGCTGTTGGGCGGGTTCACCGCAGGTCCCTCAGTGTCACCAGCACTGCCGCATGAGGCCAGGGGACTGGAGTGAGAGGGAGCACCCGTGCAGGGTGGGGTCAGAGCCCTCGCCCTTGACAGAAAGCAGGTGCGCCCACCTGCAGAGTCGAGGCATCACCAGCTGTCTCTGGGGCACAGGCAGCCCCTGGTTCCAGACCACCACGCACACGGCAGTGGCCGCACGAAGTCGAGCTGCCCCGAAATCAAAGCTCCCAACATGAGCTGTACACGGTGGGGGAGAGGGTGCCCAGGATAAACCGGCTCGCCCCTCCCCTCCCCCAACTGCCAGCAGCGGCGCGTCTCCATGGCAATGAACCTGCACCCCTCCCCATCAAGCCTTCTCTAGACGACAGCCGCTGGCTCTGGCCACGCAGGCACTGTCTTGGATCAGGACCCGGCTGAGAGCAGGCCTGGAAGAGACCCCCAGCCACGCCAGGACACGCCCACCACGCTCCGCCTGGTTCTCTGTGCCGCAGGTCCCCAGCCTTGTTCTGCCACCTTGAGCAAACCCCAGCTCAGCACAGAGGCACCGTGGAGAGCCTGACCACACCCAGCCCCCCAGGCTCCACCCAGCCCGCCTGAGTCAGCCACACTGGGGTACCAGGCAATGGCGGTGTGAGGTCCGGTGAGGAACCCCCTCCTTCAGGCCTAGGGGAGAGCCCTGTCCCTGAGGCAGAAGCCCTGAGATGGCTAAGGAGTGTGGGCGGTGCCGGAGAGCCGGACAGCGGCCAGCCTGGAGCAGCACAGGCGAGGGGGCATGGCCAGGGGGCAGGACCCGGCTCCACCTGCTCACAGTGCCCCAGCCCAAACCCTGGCCCTCAAGGAAGGCCCTCAACGAAGCTTCCTCCAGGCAGCGGCATGCCTGGCGGGTGGGAAACCCAGGGCCACTTCGGGCGCCCGGCACGGGGTCTGAGGCAGAGCAGGTGCACAGTGCGTGGGGAGCACCTGTGTGTGCTGAGCCACCCCGGGCCCAGCGTGGGCGGGAAAGCCGCCCCTGTTGACTGGCGCTGCAGACCGCTCCCCCCACAAAGATGAAGATGAAGCCAAGTGCCCAGAGAAGGGGAGAGCATGGCTCCATCCCTCAGGGGGTCTCTGGTGGAGCGCACAGGCCAGCAGGGAGCCACCAGGAAGGGCACCTCGCCATGGCTTCCAGCCCCCAACCACTTCTTCCTCACTCAGCAAGTCCCGCCCAGGAAGTCCCTACCACCACAGTTACCGGTCCACCTGCCAGTCCCTGTGCACGCGGGTCATGGAATTGCACAGTCACCACGCTCGGCACAGGCACAGCACACACATAGGCAGGCTACGCGGCCCCAGGCTCTGTTCAGCCACCAGGGAGTGACCCCGGCCCAGGCTCCTGCGCTCTCCTGGCTGGTCATTACAGACCCTCCTTCTATTCCAAATGCTGGACTGGGGACTGGGGCAGAACCACTCCGGAGAGGCAGCAAGCCCGGGTGGAAACCAAGCTATGGGCTTGGCCAGATGCCTCCTCTTCCATGGGGCTGCCGGGACTGGCTCCTGCAGTGCCCCAGCAGGGGTCTGTCCCAGGAGAAGGTGCCATGCTCCCAGATGGGGGGGCACTCTGCTGCCCCCTCCTGGGGCCTGGGTACGCCACACCCATCACACTGCCCTGGCCACAGCCCTCCTCCAGAGCTGCCCCAAGAAAGCCTGAGTGATGGCAAGACCCCCAGAGTCAGACCCGCTCCAAACCCTGCAGGTCCCGGAGCCACCGGGGGCCTCCGCCGCTGGAGGCCTCCCCCCACTGCCTCGGCCTCCTTCCCAGGGGCCAGGCTGGGCCCCCAGGCAACCAGCAGAGAGGACTCACCTCATCCAGTTGGCTTTAGTCTCATCCGAGCCATCAATGGACTTGTAGCGGCTGTTCTTGTCCACGATCTGCAAGACAGACAGAGTCCAGGATGGGCCTTCCCAGACGGGAGCTCTCCTTCCCGGGGGCCCTCTTCCCGACCCGGGGCCCTGGGCCCGGCCCCATCCACTGTCTCACTCCCTGCTCACCCTCGCTGCTACCCAACTGAAACCCAAGCTGGGGTCAGAAGTCCCTGCGTGCTGCTCCCGCCCCTTCTCGCTGTGGCACTGGGGGCGGCACGGGAGCCCCTGACTTCCTGGGAGATGGCAGCACAGGGCTGGGACTGTCCTCTTCCTTGGTGCTGATGGAATGCTGGCCACGTGACCAACAGCACCATGTCCAAGAGCCTCACATCGCAAGCACAAAAGTTCAGTCCACTCACCCCCGCCCCCCACCGTCATATATTATATAAAAACTCTACGGGAGACAGAGGCCACCCACAGGACTGGGCAGGTGGGATGGGAGAGGGCCCCTCCCCTGCCCAACCTCCAAATGTTCACATCCCCGAGGTCTGGGATGGGGCCGGCTTTTCTTTGTGAAAACAGCTCTGTCTCACCATCCCTGTTAACCCAGTGTTCAGCTGGGCCCTGGAGTCAGGAGTCAGAGCCAGGAACGCAACCCAGGTATAGTGAGCGTGGGGCACCTGCCCCTTGTGCTCACCCTTCCAGTAACTTCCCGGAGGTGTGACTGCCACAGCACGTGCAGCTTGATGAGCTCTGACAAGCTAGCTCAGTGGCGCGGTGCCCTGAGGTCGGCAGCTCTCTATCCCACAGGCAGGGGAGCAGCAGGCCGGGCCCTCCCTGGCCTAACCCCATGGTTGTCTTGTGCTCGCTGCACCCTGCTAGGTAATTTCCTCAGGACGCTCTTCCAGTTCGCTAATTCTCTCTTTGACTATGGCCAAGTACAGACCTCTCACAAGCTTAGGCTCCCAAGCAACCCCGCTCGTGCCGGTCTCAGCCACCCCTCCCCCAGCCTTCTGCTCGAAGCGGCAGAGTCATCTTCTGTCCACATCGGCCAGGCCAGATCACAATCTGTGGTCCCACACAGAGGGCTGCAGCCCAGTCCCTGGTCCCTGCCTGCCTCTCTGACCGACCTTGGGCCTCTCTCTGCCCCCGTCACTCTCCTGCAGCCAAGACGCCTGAGCCTTAACATTGAACTTGAGCTCCACTGCCTAGACCCTCCTCTCCCTATTCTTAAAGAAAAAGGTATTGACCATGAAATAGTCAAGGCATTCCTGAATGATAGAGCATACAGCAGCCGACACCCCGTGCTCAGTGGCTACAACCCACAGAAGCCAACACCAGTGAGATTGATCCCACATCGCTCTCTCCTTTGGCTTCAGGAAAGCCCCCAGAAGCAGGTGAAGCCCCTCACTAGCCTCTAACTCCTTCTCCTCCCCTTGCTGCCTCCAGGGTTGCCCACGGCCACTCCCAGGAGCACTGTCCATCAAGTGTACAGGACAGCACGCGGGTCTGTACATGGGCCTGCCCAAGCAGATGGCACCTTTGCCAACTCAGCCCCACTACGCCTTGGATGCCGGGCTCCTGCCTACCTTCGGGGTCTTGGATGTGGTTGGCGCCAGGGAGGACCCCACCCACGGCCTGAACCTGTAGCGAGTTCTCCCTGCCACTGCCCTGTGCTCTCTCCCTCTCTCCCTATCACTGGTCCTCCTGTAGAACCCCAGCGCCAGCAAGCGCATACGTGGCTCACGGGCCCTGCCTACCTGTTGGTCTGCTCATGGACCGTCTCTCCCACCACACTGGGAGCTAAGGAAGGCAAAGGGCAGGGCCACCGCGCCCACAATGGTGGCCCCGTTCCTAACAGTGCGCCACACGTGGGAGGCCACTGTGGAGCCAATGAATGAGTGATTGGATGAAGAGCTTTTTTTTTTTTTTTTTTTTTTTTTTGACAGGCAGAGTGGACAGTGAGAGAGAGAGACAGAGAGAAAGGTCTTCCTTTGCCGTTGGTTCACCCTCCAATGGCCCCCGCGGCCGGCGCGCTGCGGCCGGCGCACCGCGCTGATCCGATGGCAGGAGCCAGGAGCCAGGTGCTTTTCCTGGTCTCCCATGGGGTGCAGGGCCCAAGCACTTGGGCCATCCTCCACTGCACTCCCTGGCCACAGCAGAGAGCTGGCCTGGAAGAGGGGCAACCGGGACAGAATCCGGCGCCCCGACCGGGACTAGAACCCGGTGTGCCGGTGCCGCTAGGCGGAGGATTAGCCTAGTGAGCTGCGGCGCCGGCCGGATGAAGAGCTTTTTAAGCAAAGCGTAAGTTAAATGGGGAGCAAGAGCTTCTACAAGGTAAATATATTAGTAAAAAGGAAATGAGTGGTATCACGGGGCTGGCTTGCACTGATCACTAATAAGGATTACATTTTCAGGGTGTTTCTGAATCAGTTGTTAAATACAGCCATTACTAAAAACCAAATGATTTAAACGTATTATATCCTTTTAAAAGGTAATGCTCAAGGGATCGGCATTCTGGCATAGTGGGTAAAGCCTCTGCCTGTGATGCCAGCATCCCTATGGGTGCCAGTTCAAGTCCCGGCTGCTCCACTTCTGATCCAGCTCCCTGCTAATGGCCTGGGAAAGCAGCAGAAGATGGCCCAAGTGCTTGTGTCCTTGTCACGCATGTGGGAGACCTGGAAGAAGCTCCTGGCTCCTGGCTTTGGTGTAGCCCAGTCCTGGCTATTGTGGCCATCTGGAGTGTGAACCAGTATACGGAAGATCTCTGTCTCTGTCTCTCTCTCTCTTCCTCTCCCTCTCTCAGTAGCTCTTTCAAATAAATAAGTAAATCTTTCTGAAGAAGCTACCACTCTCTCCTGCTTCACCACCTTTTCCCATCCCCTACGCTTCTGGGACCACCGTCATCAACTGTGCCCATGCACTGTGGTCCTTGCAGCTCCAAAGTCGGTGGTTTCATGAGAGTACCCTGAAATGGGCTGAGGTGGGAGTCTTTGCAACATGGAATTTGGCTTGCAGTCCCCGGTGAGCGTCCCCAGCAGGTGGTCAAACACTCGCCGCACAGCGCATGCTCCGGTTGAGGAGCACAGAAAGTCTAGGAGATACATTGCAAACGCAACGCTGCTTCCACCAGAAGAGGGCAACGGGCAGGGTGGAGGCGCTTCTGCTTCCCCGTCTGTTTACGAGACCGGACACTGCCTGGAGGACGCTCGCTCCAGCCCACAGGGTCCTCCCCGGAGTCGCCTAGAACCCTGAACCACTCCAACACTCACCAGCCTGCAGCATCAGCTCGGCTGGCTCTCTCTCCCCGGGGACAAGCGCCCCCTAGGGTCCTGAAGCCAGCAGGAGGAGCACGTGGTGGGGTCGGAGGATCTGAGGAGAACTTCAGTGTCCCCTCCAACAAGCCCAGTGGCGGTGGGCAGGTGGCTTCACTGGCCATGCCTCAGTTTCCCTATCTGTGAAATGGGACGAAACCTTGCAACACTGTGGTCACAACACAGGAAATGGCCACAACTAGCACTGTGACTGTTACTGACTTCTGGGTGGTGGGAGCCGGGCAGGGCGACACCGGGTTCCAATCAGCCTTTTGCAGCTGGGAGGGTCGGGAGCCGCCTAAGATCTGTGTCGCTGGGCCAAGCCCGGAGATTTTCCGAGGAGGTGTTTCTCGGGTGGTCTCTCCCGTTGTACTCACCCACTCTGCACTGGCTGAGCTACAACACCCGAGAGAAGGCACTCGGGAAGGAGCGAGGTTTACGCCATCTGGCAGTTTTAGAGCTTCCCAGTCTCAGACTGGGCGGCCCTGCTGGTCCGGCATCTGACGAGGGTGGCAGAGGGGGCATTGTGTTGGGAGGGAACCTCGCAGCCAGCCTCAAGCTCAGCGGGCACCCTGGTTGTCTCCCCTCCACATGGCCTCTCAAAACCACTCTGAGTCCCTGTCAATCACAGGGCTCCACCCTAACGACCCCCTCCAATCCAATCACTTTCCAAGGCCCCACCTTCAGACCCCACGGCTGGGCTGAGCTCCATCCTCAACCCATTAATGCTAAAAGTCTGATATTAACATACAGTAATGTAAACCCTAACACCCACCAATCAGGATTCTCAAAGCAAGACCCAAACCCCAACACCCACCAATCAGGATTCTCAGAACAAGCATTCATTCATTCAGCAAACATGACAGTGACAAGATCTGGGGATAAACCAGGGCTCCGGGCAGATGGTACCTTTACGCTCAGAAAGCGCAGGTGGGGGCGGGGTAGGGCGGCCGCAGTCGGCACTGGGATGGGAACTTGTGAGGGCTGTAGCACGGCCCTGGGAGGAGTCAGCCGGGGAGCCCCCTGGGCGCTATAGAGTCTACACTGAAAAAGGAGGTCATGTTCTATGCAGGGTGCCGGGGGCGGGCAGGGCCTGCAAACCCGGGGGCCCCTCACTGATGGCCCTGGGCCACCCCGGGGACCTCCAGTCCTGGGACTGAGACAGGCGCAATAATGACCAGATGCTCGGGACCAGCGCCCCGCAGGCCGGTCTCCCAGCCTTCTCATCTTCTCTCTCAAGGCCACCTCCTTGGCCTCTCTGAACCTAGTACTTCTTGGACCATTCCAGAAGCTCTGAGCAGTGCTGCAAGAAGAAAAAAACGGGACCTGACCAGACAAGGGCAGCCAGATGGCGAGGGGTGGGGAGGGGTCCCCTTAGCCCAGAGAAGGATGGCCCGGAGGAGGCAGAGTCGCTGAACACGCTGGGAAGGCCGGCCACACCGGGCAGGCACTCAGGGGGACAGAGGCCTGCCTGGCCACAGAGCAAGCAAGCAGAACCGCCCCGAGCCTGAGAGGTGGTGAGCTTCCCGCCGCTGGGGATAACCAAAGGGGACCTGCTGTGGGGGGCGGGGAAGGGGTGAAGAGAGGACTCTGCCCGCCCCCAGGTAGAAATCTGTCCTAAATGACCTTCGAATCCTAAGACCAAGGTCGTACATGTCCACGTGGACGGATGCTCAGAGAAAATACAAAGCATGAGTGCTGGCCCATTGGGTCCCACGCCGTCCACAAGCGACCGCGGCAATAACGAATGAA